CCAGCCACTCCTTGGAAGGAAGGTTGGGCAATCCTACTTCCGTAGTGATACTGTCTCGGAAACCCAAGGAGGGGTCGCTATGAGTCGGGGCTGACTCGATGGCACATAACAACAACAACAACAATGAGTCGGAATGGACCCAATGGCAGTGGGTTTGGGTTTGGGTTATCAAAATATATTTTATACACCATAAATTCACCTATTTTAAAGAACTGTGATTTTTGGTGGTCACATATCTTTAAGTCAGTACAGTTCAAATTCCCAACCAATCAATTTAATTCTTTGGGAAAATATTAAGAGATACATATTGGAATAGGATGAGACAGTGGTGGAGTTTAATCCACACCTTATAAACCATCAGAAGAAAAATTATGAATTGATGTCACAAATAAGTGCATAAAGCATTACTAAAGATAATGCAGAAGGCAGTCTCAAAATAAGTCTGCAACAATAAGTGAACTCCTAACCCTGTGCTTCACAGTTCTCTGTGCTACATGAATCTCTCTAGAGTTTGAGAATATTAACAAACCAAGAAAAATTCTGATTTCATCGTTCTCTTTTAGATGAACCTCCACAGATGCTTTCCACAGTGCAACAGAGCAAACACCTGAAGGTGAGTATCTTCCAAATCTGAAGGGCAAGAGAACCTTTCTCCCTCCATGAATGTGAATATTGGTAAAAGTAGGATAATATAGAAAATGTCCTAACACCCACTGCCTCCCTTTCCTGATCTCTTTATCACAATGCCTGATGTAAGCTTAATGATAATTAGCAACAATTGTGATAGCTAACACTTCTTTTGTTTTCACAGTAAGCCAGATATTATTTCAAGCAATTCACATGATTGGCTATTATAATCCTTTTTAAAATTATGATGTGTTTACTATTATTAGCCCCAAATAATAATGAGGTTATTATTTTTATAAGTAAATAATGAAGATGAGAATATTGTGGTACCAAACCAAACCTGTTGGCTGTCCAGATGATACCGACTCATAGCAACCCCATCTGTTACAGAATAGAATAGAACTGCTCCATAGAGTTTCCTTGGCTGTAATCTTTACAACAGCAAATTGCCAGGCCTTTCTTCCCTGGTACCACTGCATGGGTTCAAACAACCATTTTCAATTAATGTTGTTGTTATGTGCCATTGAGTCACACCTGACTCATAGCGACCCCTCCTTGGGTTTCTGAGACAGTATCACTATGGAAGTAGATTGCCCAACCTTCCTTCCGACTTTCAATTAATAGTCAAGTGCAAACTGCAAACTGTTTGTGCCACCCAGGGACAGAAACGTTAGATAATTTGCCTAAGATCACAGTGTCAGGGGCAATGTCCAAAATTCCAAGCCATTTAAGACCTCATTAAATTTTTCATGTTTATCAAGTTCAGGCAGTTCCCCACAATAGAGCTCTGGCCCACAGATCCTGCTGATGCTTCCATTTAGATATGCATTCTCACAGCAGGAAGTAAAAACTCCCCTCTGCCCTTGTTGCAGTGCCACTCTCACATGGCTTGGGAATTACTGCTGGGACTGAAGGCCCCTCCATACTATGAGCTCCTTGAGAGTCTTGTCTGTGCCAGAATCACCTCTGAAACCACACTCCCAGAGACCCAAAGGATTTGAATGTTTATTTGAATGAATTATTCCACAATTGCAGATTAAACTCTTTTTATGGAGAGGGTAAAAGGAGCTGAAGAGATACGTGTGAGCTGGATTGCAAGTATGGCAACAGTTAAGGAATGAATGAAGGATCATGAT